GGGGTTTTAGTTCTTTTTCTGTTCTACAGTAAGACACTTGGTGGTCTAATTTCAGTGTATTCCCAGGCTTTTTAGTGCTGGTTTGCCTTTGCACTATCCTGTATTATTATTTTACAGGAACATTTCTCTAAAGTAACAAAAGAAACTCTGGAGAAATAATGAGGCACATAAGTACCTTGAAAGCAAATAGTGAACACAAATAAATCTACTAGGAATAATAACAGCTCCCTCCACAAAGAATAAAGTATCAGGGACTATATTTAATGATCTTTGTTCTATAATAATTTTTTGCTACAGTGGAACGAAGTCTTTGGGTGCAGGATATGCATTGCTTATCCATTATTTCATTACAGTAATGCCATATTTTCTGCAGCACTCACAGCTGACAGGTAATAGCATAAGCATTCACTGCTTCTGTTACATTAAAAGTAATAAATATGTAGCTAATACAGACTGATATCACCATTATTCTTAATGTTGGAAGTAAAGTAAACTCAATTAATAATTAGGAAATAGCTGGGGTTTTTTTCAGCACCTGAGATTCCTCAGATGCATTTCTTCTTTAATGATTTAAACTACATGTTGGGGAAGGCTACAGAAATCTCTCAAACCAGAGCTCTAGTCTTCTCTGCACATGAGATGAAAATGTCAGTAATGTTCCCATCCGTGGCTTTGTGTCCTCGGTGTGGAGCAGATCAGGATCCACGCCAAGTTCCTGCATCTTGGAAACACTCATTAGCACCGTGTGAAGGCTGCAAACTTACAGGCGTCTGTTTTCTGCCAAAAGCCATTTAATCTTTAATGAGAAGTGTTTATTTTTATAATAAATCCATCAATCTGAAGAGGCAGCCAACCATCGCTCTCCAAAAGGGAACCGATGGCTGTGGCAAGGAAATAACACTCCTGGGATGGGAATGGGAAGCCTGGAAGGGGTGAGAGCTGCTGTGATGGCTCTGACAGGCTGCAGGGGTTTAACTTTTTACCAAGAGTCTGATAAATTGTTTTGGTCTTGTTAAACAAATGCCAAAGCTATGGAATACATTTTTAATTGATCCATGGATTCACCTAAAATGCGTTTGCCAACTCTCCCTTCTGCAGTGAGCACCGTTCCAGACCTGGGAGCTGCAAGGGAAGTTCGACTGGTCCTGCTCACAATAACATAAAAATCTTAAGGGAAGAGATTTACCCAGTTGATTTCTCTAACTGAGAAATGGGTCCTTTTCTCTCAGAGAGAGAGAGATTGAAATTCTGCTGTCAGCACTTTGTGCTTCCCAGAGACAGAACAGCTGCTGTGTTTTCAAAATGTATTTGGTATGATCAGAAGTTCGTTGTCTGCCAACAACATGGTGATTATCAATCCTTATGTTTAATCTGATGGATTCTGCTCTTTGAAATATGGACTCTTCACTGGGCTTGCTTTGCCTGCCTCAAAGCATTCTCCAAGTGTTGAATAACTCTATGTCAGAGCAATAATTTTTCTAACATAACATCAAAAATCCCTTACTCTGTGGGTTTAACATTGTTTTAATACTTTTATCTTTGTGCAGCTGTGTTATTATTTCGAAAGGAGGAAATACTTGTGCTATTGATGTTTTTTTACTTTGCCAGAGGGCGAAGAGGGGATGAATATTCACTTTCTTCAAATGACACTTCACCAGTGGCCAGAACAAAACAAAAGCTGATTACTCACACAACATGCAGGCAAACCATGAAACTGTTCCTGCTATGACATCCTGGGAGTGCTGGAAGTCTGTGTTAATAAAAGTAATGGGATTAGTTCATAAAAGCAAATTCATGAATGGTTGATAATGCAGAGACACTGCTCAGGCTTTGCCTTGGTTTCCTAAATGATTTATTTCTGTGAATGAGAGCACAAACATTTCGTAACTCCACGCTCCAGGTACTAACACAGATCTGTTCCTTGGGAGGTCCATATTCTGTGGTGATAAATGGGTGGATAGATAGATTTGTCATGCAAAATATTCTTTGCTTTTAACTATGTTAACATAGTCCTTGCTTGGAGAATAGAGGCTCAGCTGAGGGAATAATTATAGCTTCAGAATCCAGAACATAATATTTTCTTTTATTAGGTAAGCAGTTGTAAGCTGATACTGAAATTGCTTAATTTATACTTCTAGCAATGCCCTAAATGTAAAATATAGCAAGTGAGCATTCTTAGAAATATTAATATTGTGATTCTTACCCCAGTTGACTGAGAATTTGAGAGTGAAATTTTATGTGCAAGTATACAAAATGCTGTGAATTTTGAAGCCCTTAATTAGTAGTTGCAAATTTGTTTGTCCCTTAGCAACTTGTATTTGCATAAAGATTAAGGCTGGTCAGAATGAAAAGGATAAAACATAGATGGCGGAAACATTAATAAATTAGTAATCATGTATAAAAGATAAGTAGTCTTAGATGTCGTTTCCACAAGCTTTATTAAAATTCAAATTTTTTTTTTAAAGCTGCAGTTAATATTTTCTCCACAGCTGATCATTTCTAAAGAAAGATCTGTCATAAGCTGCAGAATTAGAGAAATTAATGTATTGAGGTCAGACATTAGTATGTAAATTAAGCTTTGCTTTTTTCTGGGTGGCAACAGAAGCATTACCTTATATTTGACCTTTCATTCATTTGCCTGACTCAGCTATGTCAGTCAAAACAATTAATTCCAACGAGCAGCTTTAAAGTGTGGGGCTCAGCTTCCTTCTCCTCCCCTTGCCTGTTGGGAATTCCGTGAGAGAGGAGCTAATGGAGGGAACCTGGGCAGGATTCTCTGTCTGGACATGGGGAGTTTCTGGTCCCTCCTCCACATCCCCATTGCAGGACTTCTCCAGGGACAGTTTGCCCAGAGAAGCTGTGGCTGCCCCACCCCTGGAAGTGTCCAAGGCCAGGCTGGATGGGGTTTGGAGCAACCTGGGCTAGTGGAAGGTGTCCCTGCCCATGGCATGGGGTGGGACTGGATGGTCTTTAAGGTCCCTTCCATCCCAAACCATTCTGTGATTCTATGACAGGTAAGATTACAAAAATGTGTACTTCTGTATTTTCCAGTTGATAATGAGTTAAAGGTAGACATGGGGATGAAAATCCCCCTCCCATTTTCACTGTTGCTGGACTTGGAGCTGTATTTCTGCTCTTTGCAGCTCCTTCCTCTTGCATTCTTCACGCAATCTCTCCTTCTCTGTGCTTTTTTTCCCCCTCCTTTTTCTTTCCTCATCTCTTCTGCTTTGCTCTGAGGAAGGAGCTCACGCTGGTCTTTGACTGTGTGACCCTTGGGGAGTTCTGTCATCGCCCTCACCCTTATGGTGTGGTGATGGCAGATGGCAGTGAAATGCAGGGGAAAACGTAATGGTGCATTGCAAGGAGTGTAATTTGTCTAAGGGCTGGGGCAAAAAAAATCTGTGCACTGATTCCTTACAAAGACATGCAGATCACAGTAAAAATCTGTATTTATAGACACTGTGCCTGGCTGTACCTACCCAGGCAGTTTGTCTTCATTGGTTGTGTTGAGACCACATTGAGGTGAGGGCATAGCAATTGAATAATACAGAGAATAAACTTGCATTGAGGTAGTGCCTGTGGTAGAATTGTACCTGAATATAATCAGTGTAAGTCAGTGAAGGTGAGTGTGCAGAACAGGCAAGCCTGTGTATCAGTTCATAATGCAGGTGTGGACAAGCTCCTGGGCAGGTTTGCTTCGAAAAGTCTGAGTTTTAATAAAAGTGCAAAATATACCTTTCACTTGAATTCAAATTATGTGGTCATATTAATTAAACTCTAGTGCATTAGAAAAGGAAATGTAAGGAAATCTTGGGGGAGGAAGCAAAAGAATGAAAACAAATCATTAAACTTTATAAAAGCAGTAACCCGCAAAAGCAAATTAAGAAGTATATTCTTTTTTTTTTTTCACTGAATGGAAATACAAGATTTGGCAGCAAAGACTAAATTAAGTTTTCTTGTTCTGATTTAAATATTTTACAGACCTTCCCAATGTATAAGTGGAAAGGAATGAGACTTGCAGTAGCATACAAAAAAGCTACTGATACTTTTCTAATAAGAAATATGAATTTAAGAGGTGTTTCAGGTACAAATTTGTGAAGAAAGTTCTTTATTGATTGTTCCCAAGTTTCGATTGTGCATATCTGTTTTAGTTTCCTTTTTGTCCGTTTTCCCTTTCCCTTTGGGGGGTGTTTGGGATTCCTTTTTATACGTACGTAGTATTTTAACTGTATATAACTGTGATATACATAAAACCATATATATTTTGATATAATTTGCTTGGTTTCAGTTTGGTTTTTTTTTTCAGTTTCTATGGTTTTTCCTTTGCCCAAAGGGGAAGGGAGGGGGAGGTTTTCACTATAGTGATGCCTTAAGGCCCTAATGGTTTTCTTATTTTTCTACCTTATAAGTTTTATAGGTAATAGAAGTAGATTTTAGAAACACTCCTTTCTCCCTCCTCCCCATAGTACCCCTTAGTTTATACATTCCTTAATCCTCTCACCCCATTCCATACCCCCCATGTCAACCCTATTCCCATATCCAGTAGAAAATGTTTAGTCTCTTAGTCAAGGCAAGCCTGTCTTGTTTGGGGAACACTTGTATCTTGGCCTAAACCTCAGGACAGAGTCAAGGAACTGGGTGACTCTGCTCTCTGTACCCCGAAGATGATGAAGGATTGTGAAGAGGGGGTCCCAAAAAGCCCCCCGACCCAATTCCAGGAGGTGGGCCAGGGGGTGGACCAGGCCAAAAGTTACGGGGTGGACACACTTGGGATTGGCCAGATATTGTTATAAATGTAACATCTTGGGCACAGCCCGGGGCGCGCGTCGTTTACCATCTCTTGCCTTGGCACAATTAAATCCTTTCCCTATCTCACCTCAACTAACGGCTCCTGGATTTTTTTCTAAGCACCAGCTGAGCAGGCATCAATAGTCTGGGGGACTTGGTGGGGAGCCAGGTCCAAACTCTAACCCAAGCCCCTCCGTGATCCTGTGCCGCAGGTGTCCGCGCTTGGAGCACGTGCCGGAGTCGAGCGAGTCGCTGCCGGATGCGGTGCCGGCCGAGCGGCCGGAGCCGGACGGTCCCCGGAGCCCCGAGGCCGGCCTGCCCTCCCTCTGCCTCAAGCAGGTGTTCCCCAAGTACGCCAAGCAGTTCAGCTACCTGCGGCTCGTGGACAGGGTGGCCGCGCTCTTCATCCGCTTCCTCGGGGTCAAAGGCACCACCAAGCTGGGGCCGACGGGTTTCCGGACCTTTATAAGGTTGGTGGGATGAAAGCTGACCCTAATAGTGGTGCACTTGTAGGTTTTGTGATGCCTTCTAACATTGCCTGTTTTATTGTAAAATAGATACGTTTTTGTCATTCCGAGCTCCTGAAATACCTGACCTGGGAATCCGTGTCTGGTGGGGAGTGGGGCCTTTATTTGACAGCAGATCAGTGATACTCGGGCAGATACAATTTGCAGCCTCCATCAACATGTCACGTTTCCAGTAAATCATAGAAATACATTTGTGAGACAGTGACAACTGAAATTGGGTCACTTGATCTGATTGTGGCGGCCGTGGGGGCTCAGCCGTGCGCCCCAGCCCGCGGGAAGGATTCCCAAATGCCAGTTCCTGATGCACTGTGCACGAAGGATTTGCATTGTGAAATTGCACCATGCAATGACAAGGAACTCAATTTATTTCTTTCACATTCTTTTTACTTGGGAGGGTTTTTTTCGTTGTTTTTTATGGGTATATCTGTTTGAGTCATGGTCCAAATATCTCATTTTCTGTCTTTGATTGACTATGACAAAAGAAATGAGCAGCAGCAGCAGATGTACTCTTAAAACACAGATCCTGTTTCTATGCAGATGCATTTAGCATTCAGGAATGAATATAAACAATTTGGTTTATACAAATTACGATATATAGAAAATGACTGAAGGCATCTGCTCTATCCACAGACCAGCACAGGATTCCATCCAGTTCTGTATTTTCTGTTGTTTAATCCAGCCTTATTTTGGCACTTGTCAGGAACACAGAATAAATGCCAACATTTCCTTTTAAGAATATTCAAATAAATTGTCTTATCTCAATGAAATAGGATTTGCAGTTTCTTAATGCATGTTAAATTCAACCTTTTATTATTGGCAGATATTTGGTTTATTTCCTCCCAGAGGATCTATATGAGCTATATAGCCCTTTTCTGAAGTGCTGTCATGGCTGCTCATTTCAGAAGGAAGGTCACATTTCTGTGAGCTGTATCACTTTTCAGGAATAAAATGCTCCACAAGCGGGATTTCGTGTGTGGGCACGAGTGCGTGGGCAAGTGCTTGCACAGACTGTCCACCCAAATTCTGGCTGATCAAAATCTATCCTCCTTCAATATTTTCTTAATTCTAAAAAAATAACTAAAAGGGAAACACTGAATGTGATTCTACTCCTTGCTTGGGTGCTGACTAGGCCAGACCTTGCTCTCTATTTTAAGGGAGCTCTGCCGAGGTTTGTAGGGTGAGAGCCTTTTCAGTTAGCCAGGTTTGGGTTGGTGGTGGGGGTTGTTTTGTTTTTCTTTTCTGGCTAGAAATGTTGGCCAGCTCTTTGGCATGTGCACTAGTGGCAGCCAGGCTGCCAGACATCTGGAAATCCTGGACACACATCCAGTTCCCATCTTCTGATCAGCACCGCACTGCGGACCCGCACACGGGAGTGTCGGATCTCCACAGCCCCAGCAGCCCATCCAGGGTGCTGCTGCTGCTCTCCAGGCAGTGTTCAGTACCACGAGGGTAAATCCCTTCGGTGCTCAGGCATAGAGAAGCAATGCTGTGCCTGAAAGTTTTCCTCCAGCCCTTTTCAAACAGGATCAGTCAGACAAATAAAAAGAGTGTTTCGCTGTGCAAACTCTGCCTCGTGCGGATTTGTGGGAGGGTTCACAATGGACCAATTAATTCCATTCTGTTACAGCCTCAGAATACTGGCAGTAGCCTGGGAGAAAGCTCCGTGTAATGGTCAGGTCATATTTTTAATTGAAATAGTCCGAGTTTGGGCCTGTTCTCTTTCAGATACGAGCACTTAATGAGCACTGGTCTGTTTGATATCTGCTCTGTGTGTGTTATTAGACTGAGCGGGTTACAGTGGGTCTGCAAACATGGTCTCCCAGTTGCCCTTGCAGAATTTTTCCTTACTTGTGAGTTTGGATGTAATCAGGATCTCTTCTTTATTTTGTTTGTTTTTAACAGAAACTGCAAACTGAGTAACAGCAATTTTTCAATGGCTGCTGTAGATATCCTGTACATTGATATCACAAGGAGGTGGAACAGCATGGGAATTGACCACAAAGAATCAGGTAACACAGGTTTGTATTCCAAAAGCTGTGGATGCTGGATTTTGGGGTTATTTTTTTCCAATTTTGGTAGCTTAAGCACACTTCAGACATTCAATAGAAATGAGAACAAGGCATGTGCACCTGAGGCATGAACGTGTACAGCCAATTCTTATGGTTAGTTCTGTGGCAGTTACCCTTCAGGGCAGTACTACTTCAGGTAGGCTGGGGTCACCTCACTTTCACAGATGTGTAAAATACAAGTATTTGCATTTAGCAGTTCAGGGTGGGTCTGTCTTTTCTGTGGTTAGCTGATAAAATTTCACTAGCAAAAGTAGTAGGCATGGAACTGAATCTTCAGGCTTTCAGAAATTAAGAGATTTATTGACAGTCTCAATGAACCAGATGTTTTTTTAGATGTTAAAAGACAAAGTACCCACCTGTTCCTGTTGGCTTTGTGTTTGGCCCACTCCCAGCTCTAACCATGACAGTCACAATTCTGTTGTTCTAAAACAGCAGCTTCTAACTTTTTTCATGCTTCACATGAGCGTCACTTCTGGGGGAGAAAGTGTGTGTGTGCTACCAGAGGTGGTTTCCCTGCCTGCAGCTCACCATGACTGATAAAAAAATTTACTGAGCTGGCAGCTGCTGCTTTCAGATAACTCAACAATTCTTTTGCAAGCTGTTTTACAGCCAAGATTGTAAACGACCCCAGCTGCAGCCTTGGTTGAGAGAAATTATACTTCAGAATGTAATTGTCATATTTTGAAAAGGTGCCTTTCCCGCAGCATCACTAAGCCAACACTAAGTTAAAAACCCCAAACCTTTCAATATCTCGTCCTAAAATAATCTTCTTAAGTGTCTGTTCAAACTGGGAGAGCCAGTTAAGGCACAAAGCAGCTCTAACTGTGCCTTGTGGCTGCCATTCTGCACAACCAATTGGGGTCTGGCTTCTTAATTAAGATTTTGAGTGGGTATTACTTCGAGGTTTTAAATACAATAATTAGTGTTAATACACAGCCCCTCTTCCCCTTGGCTGTGGTAATGTGTTATTAGTGAGATGTGATGGAACAACACCTGAAGTGTCTGTACTGCAGCATGTGGCTTCTGCAGGGGACTTTTGTTTGTGAAGGGGCAGGGTTTTATTATAGCAGAGACATTTTTTGGCACTGCACACTTTCAGCTGTTTGTTTTTCGTTCAGCTGAAACAAAACCACTGTTGTGGAGTTACTGGGTTTGGCTGAACAGATGGGCCTCCTCACCTTCATGAGGGTTCATACCTGTGCAGAGAGGAAGTAATACTTCAAATGAACTCACATCTCTAGGAGGTGACACTTGGTAATGGGGTTATCTTTACAGTGCTGCAGACTGAAATGGCACACTGCTGTGAACTTTTGGGTTGGGGCCATCTCTGAAAACACAGGGTTGAAAAGACTCGATTCAGTTGCTGCCATAAGACTTGGTTTTTCTCTCCAGCTGGATTGTTTTCCTTGGTGCTCAGCATGTTCCTGTGTGTCTGATTTGGTTTCAGTATTTGAGGCAGCAGAAATCAAGGCTGATATCACAGCAGTTTAATGGTACAATGTTTTAAGATGGGTTGTTGCTGTACCAGTTTGCCTCTGGATTCCAGGCTGAGGAAACTGCCTCAGTGACAGGGAATATCACTGTCCAGAGCCCAGGCTGGGCTCTCCCTGCACTGAGACACTCCATGAGACACATTTGTATGTGTGTGACATACAAATACAACCTTACTCTTTCTGAGCATTCTGGAGGGCTGCCATTTCAATGAAAAGGTGTTAACTAGGACAACTGTAATGTCCACACCCAGCACATACACATTTGCTCTTGCTGCCCCATGGAGCAGGAGATGGTGTTATACCTGAAGAATGCCAGGGAACGCTGCGCTCTGAACCCCCTGTAAACACCTTTTCCTTGCAGGAATGTGTCTGCAGGCCTTTGTGGAAGCTTTCTTCTGCCTGGCTCAGAAGAAGTACAAGTCCCTCCCTCTGCACGAGCAGGTGCTGTCGCTGATCGAGTTCTGTGAGTGTCACTTGGCTGCCCTGGACGAGAAGCGCCTGCTGTGGGGCTGGGGGGTCCCGGAGCGTCGAGGGGGCACAGGGGGGCCCTGCCAGGCCGAGGGGCTGCACCTCAGCCCAGCTGCTCCAGCCCTCCTGAACCGCACGGCCACGGCCTCCAAACTGGCAGATTATAGAACCCAGCGCAATTAGGCGGGACAGGACTGGGAGCTCCTTCCCAGGTGTGTCCCTGAACTGCTGGGGGAGACACAGGCACTGAATTCCTCCATCTGAGAGTCACAGCTGTTTATTTCAGCTGGTTTTTATTTATGGTCTTCGAAAAGTCTTCTGCAGGCTGCCATTCTCAAATAATGACCTTGGCAATGGCTGTTTCTTGGCCTCTCTGTGGGTGCCCCTCCCGTGACACGCTGTGCTTTCCTCCTGAGTACGTGGAAACCAGGCATGAAGGAAGGACCAAAACACGAGGAGAACCAGCCCCGTGGGATTGGCTGCACTGGTGGAGAGGGACACTCGTGTCAAAGGAATTACACTGCTTTGGGAGCACAGGATGTGTCACAGAAACCAGGGAAGGAGCTGCAGTCTCAAATACCAGACTTCGGAAAACTGAAACCTGGAATTACATTTGTGGTCAGACTTCAGGCTCTGACCCCTCTTCTTTCAATGGCTTGACTGTACAGGCTGGAATCGATACAGATTTGGTCATTGTCTATGTACTTATTTTTTAAAGACAGACTTAAAACACTGAAATCCTATTTTGGCTTCTACTTCTTTGTACACGTCTTTGCCATGACAAGTACTGTTAGTTTTTTAAAGAAAAACTAAAGCTATTTATCCTTTTGCTTCCACACTTACTCACAGAAAAAAATTTACTTCCTCAAGTCAAAGCTGGTGAATCAAGTTGAGGTTTTGTCTTCAGGGACTCAGCACTGCTTCTGCAGGAAGCTGTACAGTTTAAATTCCAGTGAAACCAGTCCTGTCACTGACTTTACCCTAAACTAACTGTATTCTAGGTTTGTTTATTTTTTGCCATTTGCATGTTTGTTACCCTGTTGGGACCTGCAGTATCATCTAGAGCAGAATTTTTGTGTCTTTGCACTTAATTTTTTTCCCTTAAATAACAGTGTAAGTCTGTAAAAATTAGATCTATATTGTTTAATAGGATATTGTGTCAGAACTGCTGGGCTGTACCACTGGAATTGTACAGAGGAGTCTTATTTTTCAGGAAATGAACCATAACTTCCCATGCTTCTTAGGGGGGCTGAGCACAACAGAGACTGGCTGGAATAACAGGACAGGAATAACTGGGAACTTCAGGGCTGTTCAGTGAAACTCTTTGTGGTCTCATATTTTATTACTATGATGTGTGGCTACATCTGAGTTTGATTTTCCTCCTTTGTTCTCCTCTTTAATGTTAATGACTTTGCTTATGTTGTAGTGTCCTCCATCCTGTCAGAAATGGCAGAGCTCTAAGCTGGGCACTGAGCTTTGGATTGGAGAACATTCCCTGAGCTCCAGGTCGGAATGTTCCAGTGCTGGTGCACCAGAAACTTGTCCTCTCAGGAAGCCCAGTGTCAGTGAGGGGGAGCCCACCCATTTCATGTCATGGACTAAATGCACACGTGGCACTGAGTGAGTTTTTACTTCAGGGAGTGTTCTGAGTTTCTTCCCTGGTTTCAGTTTAAGCAGCATGTTTTTTTCCAAGTGGCAATAATGGCCCATCTTCGCGAACGAAGATTTGGGGAAAGGTCTTTTACCTTTCCAGCCTGCGCAATGGATTTTTTAGGTGAGACACAGCCTGCGCTGAACTGAGCCCACCCTTTAATCCTAAGGTTCATCTGCCGGGGCCAAGCAAGCTTGGACAATGGCAGTGAGGTCCTCAGGACGTAGGTTTGTTTAGAGTGTCCTTCTCATAGATGGATGGCCACACAGGGCTAACGGGTTCCATCTGCCCGGGAGGGACTGGGAATCGAACCCGTGGTCGCAGCAGTGAAAGTCCTGCACGCTAACCACTAGGCCACCAAGTGGCAATAGCAGCATGGCAATGCAATGCAGGAGTCGGGCTGAGCCCACACATAACTAATCCCCAGCATGTGTTAATCTCAGGTGTGGGGTCCCTTCTCCTTATCTTTTCCTGTAACACCAGTAAAATAGAAGTAGATGATCTTTTTTAGTTCAACGGCCAGACTGTTTGAAATGTTATGTATTGTACATAAGAGGACAATTGTAGACTAATGCCACTGCCCTCAGCCTTGTTTGAGTTTCATAAAGATTATTGCAGTATGAAGATAAAATGCCAAACTCCAAGGTCTGGCATCTGTCAGAACAAATGAAGCTGAAAGGGTCATTTTTTTTTCGCACTTTCATTGTAATATATTTGAAGACATTCACGAGTTGAAAAATGGTTACTTCTCCTTTTGTGACATCTGACATTTGTCTTGCGATTGGCAGTGTGTTACTGGAAAATAGCTTACAGTTCCTCTCATCTGGTGATTGATGTCCTGGAAAGAGAGTCACAGAGGAGCCGGGTTGGAAATGCTGCGGCCGTGAATGCCTTTCCTTGCACCTTTCAAGTAGTACAATCTGTGGCCTAAATTATCCAGGTTTTGCTATTGTATAACTTACCCTGATATCAGTGGAATAAATTAACTATTGCATACTGAACACTGATAAGATCTCTCTCTGTGCTGGAGATCTTTATACTCTCTGGATCTAGTAGAGGTTTTTATAGCCCGAGCATCCACAGGCTGATGCAGCACAGCCCATTCATCTCCCACTTCAAATATGAAGGGTCCCTTGTAGAATAGTCAAAATATTCAATTATCTGCCTCTAGTAATCCAGTGTTCATGTATTTATATAATTGGAAAATTGAATGCCATATTATTCTCAGAGAGGGGGGAGGGGATAAACCAGGAATGTTCTTTAGAGACTTAATAGCAGTCACATTTCTCTTCCCTCCTGTCTAATTCAATTTCCTCTGGATATTATTTAGCATCCAATTTCATAGAGCCTTTGAGTTACCAGTCTGTGCCCATGTAAATGGCCAGAGACACTTTATCCAGAACATGAATGCTAATGCACTGATAATCTGTTAATCCTGAGGTACCTCTCTAACTACAGACACAATAAATGAAAGGTTGGGGTTTTAATAGCACTTTTCTATATATTCTTTTCAGAGAATATCACAGCACTCATTGTTCCATTTATGACATACACGATATGGATATTGTACACCAGTGAAATCTTTCTCCTTATCAGACACTGGCTCTGGTATTCCTCTCTGGATAGAAATCAGAATAAAGCAACATCTAATGAAGATTTGAGGCGAGTCCAGAATTTCAGCTCCCCTTCCCTGCAGTCTTGTGTGTAGCCTGAACGTGCTGAGCCCTTGCTTTTTTTAGGCAACAGCTCTGCTCACGTCCCTGCCTTGGTGAGGGTTCCAAAGCTTTCTCCACGGGGAGGGAGGGCATTGCTGTGCCTGGGCACGGGACCAATTTGGTCCCTTCTCCTGCTGCAGAGGTCCTGGGTGGATGAGAGATGGTGTTTGGGCTCCTAAATCCTGCTGGCACCTCATCAGTGAGGTGTCTGCATCTGCCCGGCCACGCTTCCCTTGTCCCGCTCTGCCCTCTGGTTCTTCCTCCGTAAGGGGAGATTGATAAAGTATTTATTTTTCTCTGGCTGTTCCCATCTGTAGTGCCTTGAGAGCATCCTCCTGCTCTCTGGGTTTGTTCCAGCAGGATGAGGTCCCTCCTGCCATCCCTGCCCCAGCAGCCCAGCTCCTGCTTCTCTCTCCGATTATTTCTGCCTTACTTACCTTCACTTCACCTTAAGCACACGCACAAAAAATCATCAGCACTACCCAGATAAATCCATCTGGTCTCTGTCTCAGCCTCATTTAACCTCGCATTGAAGAGATTGTATCACATGGTATTCAGCTGGAACCTATTACCTTGCATGCCCAAGCATATCACATTGAATTACCCTGGCCCGTGGGCCTGTGGTGTTTGCTAATGGCTAATGGCTGCTTTTAACTTGCAGGTGATTTATTCCAGCACGTTTCTGTTTGGTGCAGCAGGGTGGGTTGGTGAGTTAAGCAGAGCTCAGGGAGGGACAGCAGGGGAGGCTGAAGGCAGGGTGGCTTCACACCTGCTGGGGTTTCCCAGTATTCCCATTCCTCACCACTGTCCCAGACAAAGCAAGTGGTAGGGACTGGGAGTGGCTCCTGGCTGCACAGCAAGGGATGCAGGAGGACACAGTGCCATGATTCTTCTACAATTTGCTGCAGGTGTAGTGCAGAACTGGTACAAAATTGTGGTAAAGGACAAAATCAGGAGCGTGTTATGGTGATGTGATGCAATATTCCCTCTTCCTACACCTCATCAGTGGAAGTACAAAAGCCCTTCTGCAGGTCAGGGTCAGATACACCAGTGAACAGGCAGGAAAAAGTGGGAATGTGAGTTATGGATGCAAACCCAGCTCCCTGATTTGTAGTTTGGAGTCTTGAGCCTCGTGTTTGTCCTCTCATCAGCCCAGGTCCCCCAGCACACCTCGCTCAGGGGGGGAGGGAGAACTGTGGTTTCCAGGAGGAGTAACAGTGACTGTAATAAATCAAAGTCAGTCAACTTGGGAGCTCTGTTATTCAGGCTTCATTCCTCGAAGATGTGGCAAAAAAATCAAATGTTTGAGGTTATTCAATTATGGCTCATACCACCAGTGGGGAAATCTGATCATGTACAGTGCCTGCATCAATATTATTTACGTGATGAGGAGCTGTGCTGGCAGAAATCTTACAGGTGTACAACTCCTTTCCTCTCTTCCTCTCACCTGGCACCGCCAGCCCTTCCTGCAGGACACGGAAGAGTGTGGGCAGTCAATAGACACGGATAAAATAAAGTTGTGAACAGCAGCAGGAGCTGAAATGGCAACATCAATAACAGTTTCCAGATAATGATCTAATTAGCACAAACAACAAGTTTCCACTAATGACTCTTGTTCTTCCAGCTCCTTCCTTTCTGCTTGCCTGTCATTATTGACTTCCCTGGCAGGGAGCGGCTGCGCTCCCGTCTCTGGGGCCGAGGTTTGTTTACTGCCTGCCTTTGAATTCCTGCTCCAGAGGGTGTTTGCTCAGGAGCCGGGGCTGCCGTGCCTGGGATGGCTGCACATGGAGGGCGGGGGGAGGAGAATCGGTTTGGTTTGGGTTTTGTAGCTTTCTGGAGGCCCTGGGAAAGTTGTGCTCTTGCTGCATGTCCCCGTTGTGAAACTGAGGATGCTGATGTTCACCCGCTGCAGTGGAGTGGGAGCTGATTGTGGGGGGCTTGGGAAGCCGGGAGGGAAAGAGGATTGTCAGCAGCAAAGATCAGAGATTATTTATTATTGGAGGAACAGTAACAAACTGTTTCTGTCCATGCCCTCCCTGGGTATGAACCTCATCTCTTGCACCTCCCTGCCTCCCTCCCACTGAAACAGAAAGGCTCTTCCATGCTCTTAAGGCCCAGCTTGGCAGGTATTGGCTTAATGCTGTCGCTTCCTTGGTTGACAGTGGCTGCTGTTGTGGCTGTTGCTTTGTCCTCGGTTGTGTGGTGGGCAGGACCCTCACATTTGCCCCTTTTGAAGGTGCCCAGTTCTGCCATCTGTGAGCTGCCAGTTGCTGCTGCAGGACTGGCTTCACTGGGGTGATGCAGTGGGACCACGGCTGTGCCACCTCAGCCTTGCCTGGGCAAAGGCTCTGCTGCTGCTCTCTGGTTGTGCTGCAGAAGGTGCTGCCTGGCACAGGAGCAGCCCATAGGCCAGTGACTCTCACTTACTAATCTCAGAACCAACCCTGTAAGGGTGCAGTTACTGGAACATTGTTATTGCTGATGAGTCTTGGGCTAAAATGATTCTCCAGATTCAAAAACCTCAAGCAAACACATCCATGATCCCCAACCACCCAGCCCCGTATTCCTGTGGTTGTTCTGGCTGCTGATTTGCCATTCCAAGTCTCACTTCTCCCAGCCTTGCCTTTCTGCTGGAGCCCCTGGGAGGGGCTCTGGGTGCCAAGAGCTGTCAAGTGCCCAGGGATGTTCTGGGTGTTTTGGGTGAGGATTCAGCTCTGCTCAAATGAAGCCGGAACAGCTGCTAAGGAGGTTTTATCAAGTCCAAGTGGTTTTGACTAATCCCTCCTCGCAGCATTTCCTGACATGCTCTGTGTTTCCAGGGATGTTTGTTTTGTTTCTCTCAACCTTCAACATCAACAAGGTTGAGGGGGAT